TTTGGGTTGTCCTTTGGACAGGAGGCTGAAGCCTCAGTAGTCCGCCATAGCCTCGGCCTGTATGTAGAGGAAGAGGAAGGGTGGCCATGGCTATGGTGGACCTCATGTTGTGCCTGCAGTAGAAGTGGGATTCGGACATTGATATTGGTTCAGTCATTCAACATAATTATTGTTATTTCGTGTTGGAATAAGAGGGGAGGAGATAAGGAGGAAGAGATTGGTTGGCGAAGAAGAAGAGCCTTGTTATTGGTCTATGCTGGAGTACATCATCTTCTTCTTCTTTCTTACTTCTTCTTCTTCTTCTTTCCCTCTCTCTCCTCTCAAGTTCATTCATTTCTTTTTGCAATTGGATGGCATTGTACTTTCAGATGAATGTATACTTTGAAATTGGCCAGGATCGTAACAAAGGGATGGATATCCGCCGCCTGTGTCTTCGCTGTGGCAACACCCAAGAAGAATCCACCTTCCATCTGATCTGGGACTGTCCAGCATCCAAGCGAATCTGGCGCCGGTGGCCAGACCACTGGCAACGGCTAGGCTCCACTATGATCTGGGATGTAAATGGATGGGGGGGGGGGCGTCTTCACCCCCTCTTCCTCAGCCATAGTGGGTGGGGATATATGGCATAGGCGATCTGAACATTCTGTTCCGAGGTGAGTGGTCGGCAGATGAAGCCATCCAAGGCAAAATCAAAGCCTTGATTAGAACGATGGTGGTGGCAGACTGGGTAAGACGGGTGGGGAAAGGTCATCTGCCAAATGGCAAAAGGTGGTCCCTCTTCACATGGGCAAGAGCAAACCAACTGGCGGCTGTGACACTGGAAGGAGAACTGGTACTATCACCCTGGCTGAGCTCAGAAGGGAGGGGCAGAAGAATACACCAGTGACATTTGACAAGGATGTCGGTTAAAGATGTCAGATAGGACAGGTCTCTCGATAGAAAAGGGAAGGAATGAAGAGTGTCCGGGTGTGTGTAAGGGTGCGTGTTTGACCCAGGGTCCGGGTTTGGGTGGGAATGCGGTTTTGGGTTTGGGTATGGGCATGATTTGAGTTGATTTGAGTAGGAGGTTTGGCTAAGATAAGAGTGGTTAGGAGGGTAGGAAGGGTTGAGTACTTCGTTAGTGTGGCTTGAGCACTGGGAGAGACGGGAGGGTCTGAGAGGCTTTGGGAGGTTTGGTGGGAGTTTGATCGCCGGACCTGGCTCCTCGGTCCGGATTAGGTATGCAGGAGGACCGGTGCTGACCTATTTGTAGGGAGCAAAGAGGAGACAGCGTAGAAGCCGAGTCGTGGTAGACTCGGGGGGTCATGTTGACCCTGTGTGGAGCTTCGAACAGAAAACAGACTAGGTAGGAGTGGAAATGGACAGGAAAGAGATAAGGACGGGTGGGCGTAGAGTAATATTGTAGATGGGAGTGTCAAGGGGGTGTCAGTAGATGGGGTTGTCAAGGGATAATGGGGGAAGGGATTCTGGATTGGGTGTTGCCACAGTGGTAGGAATTGGGCGTCTTTCCCTCCTTCTTTCTGTTCTCTTTCTCTCCTGGTCCTGATTGCCTTGCTTCTCCCCTTTTTGTGTGATTCTGTCGTTTTATAACTCTTGTGTCTCCTTCCCTACTCTGCTCTGGGCGCTACCTTTTTTTTTTTTTATTGACAGGGAGAAGTAGCAGTGGGTGTCTTTCTACCGGGTCGAAGTGAAAAGCGAAACTGGGCAATGCTCCCAGCATCGGCCTTGTTGTGGGGATTGGCTGACCCCCTCTCTATTCTTTCAACGAGTAACGAATGCGTATGACTTGTCTTCACCTTACGTGCAACATGCATACATGCAGCTGGCGATTGCAACAGAAACTTCCACAGACGCAGAATCAGCAACAGACTTGAGATGGCAAAGTGCGCCCACACAAAAACTCAGAGATATGGTCTTCGGCCAGGAACTCAGCTCCAAACAACTTGTCACATCTCATGGCTATGGCGCCTGAGCGCCAGTCTGGAATTCCCACCCGAACACTGTATCCACCGTCAGACACACTCACACGCATGTACGCGCACAGCACTTGGATCTACCCTGAATGTCCGCACACACATACACACAGGCTAACCGCTAACTCGTCACACTGGCGGCTATGGCCTTCCTCTCTAGCGGCTATGGCCGCTTGTTCTCTTCCACTTCAGACTCTTTTGCTGACCACTGGTGAACTCAGTGCACAAGTCACTCGAGCAGTGCTTCCGCATAGTTCCCCAGATAATGAGTGAATGACTGATCGCTGCCTCTTTATTTTTACTGTTTCGTTTGGTGGTCTGGGCCTGCCCGATGTCCCAGGCCATCAAGGTGTGCAGTCCCACTCTGGTACCTGCTGCAAAACGGACTGGACTGGGACTGCCCTTTCACTTGCCCCTTCGGTGTTGACTTGGGACTCTTGACCTTTCAGAGATCGACGGACTGCCCTTTCAACCTGCAAGAGGTCAAGTTGACTCTTTGAGCACTACTCTAGCCACGACCTACTGACCTTTCACAGGACGTATGGCCAGTTGACCTTTTGAAAATTTGCCATTTTAGGAAACTTACAGATGACCCTTAAGACTTCTAAACAACTAATTTACAGATCAAAACCACACGACCCAAGCTGCAGACACAA